GTAATATTTATTTTGCAAACATTATTGACGCTGAAATAACAGAAAGTGTTTCTAATGAAAAAAAAAAAAGCTAAACGAGGGTCGATATGTAGTAAGTCTATAGCTTATGTAATCAGTAGGAAAGTCCTTTATCTTTACTATCCGAACACTATGCGCTGTATGTTTTTAAGTAGTGCAGATAAAGGAGCTTCGTTCATTGAGTTATACCGTTCTGCGTCAGCTAATCATTTTTGTTCATTACCTTTCAGATGACACCTTTCTATAGGGCTCCTGAGATTCCCTTCAGAAGACTGAGCTGAGCTTAGGTGTGTCATACGATGTGCTATATCCTTGAGGTCCTTAAATTCTAGGACGTAGGTAACTGGTTCGATACTATAATCTCCTTCTGAAGTATGAAGTAACCCTAACTGTAAAATAAAATATTAATGCATTACCTGATAAAATTCTGCTTATCAGATCAAGTTATGTATAAGTAGTAATTTGTACGAAAATCTACTGTTTATATAATATTAAACGGATATAATCACGCTTGGTAATTCAGCTATATTACGTTTTTATAAAACAACTACAAATATATAAAAGATATAACCAATCCTGGAAAACAAAAGTTAGCCCAAGTTCATGAGCTTTAGTTTCAGCAAAATGCATTGTCAGCAGTGATGTGCAATCAGAATATTATATTCTTCTTATTGAAAGCCCAAAATGGAGTCGGTAAAGAAATATTTTTTTGTGTAATTTTATCAGTCTTATCGTGATGTTATGTCACAAATTGTTTATCAACACATTAGTTATCACCAGCACATGGCATTATTAAATATTAATTCACGTTGTGGTTTTTTATGAAGTTTGTTTACTCGCGGACTATCTCTACAGTTCTGGAGTTAGCATGATCAGACTTGGCAGGCGGACACAGGGTAATCCGGGGGTAACCTTATCTATATGATGCAGCCCCCTCCATACCAAGGTGGTACCGAGGGGAGCTAGAACGTTTTCTGAATGTCACCCAAACAGATGTGGTTTATGAGTAGGTTTTCAGGATAGCTGAATTCGAATATGGAGTCAGAGTTTGTGTTCTTGGCTCCTCTGGATCTCTGTATTAAACTTTTCATATCCCCACTCACAAGACAGCGTGATGAAACGTGACATATATCTCCTCTAGTATCAAGGACAGGTGTTTTAATTAGGTTTATTTTGAGGTAGCTTTAAAAGTATTGATGATAATGAAAGAGATTGATAGGTAAACTTGGGCCTCTGAGAATAATGAGAGGATACTTAATCCTACAGCGAAACGCGGGTATTTTACGTTACTATATCATAATAACTAGTCCGAGTTTGACGTATTATAGAACTAGATAATTCGTCGGAAATTAATACAAACACTCTTTAAACCCAATTTTCACTTTAACAAACACATATTTTTAATTTATACGATAAGTTTGGCCTTTATATTAGTTGATTACCACTCATGTATACAAAACTAGCGTTCTTATGAGTTAAATTCTAACCATTCTCCTTCTGCTAATAAGGTTTTTTACCTTTTCAACCAACACGATCAGCAGATATTCAATACCACAGTTCAGTAGGTCAAATAAGTTACAACTCTTAGAGTCTTACTTAAAGATGTATTTGTATCAGTCGATTTATCACATAAAAGTGTATGGCGTAAAACGTCAAAACTAGTAAATCATGCATCCTTGCAAATTAAGATTATGGGCCCAGAATATTAAATAAAAGTTATAACTCGTCTATAACTTTGTGGGTTATTATTAACAAGAATGTTAAGAAGCATTTCAACTACTCAATGTAGGTTGTATGCCCACTTGATACTTACAAGTAGCACCACAAAAATATATAAATTAGTATCTAAGGGAAGGCATACAAAACCCTACCCAAAACCAGACCATTCTCTAACACACAAGTAGTACTTCAAAAAAATATATTTATTAGTGTCTAGTGGAAAGTTCACAAAACACCTATCTAACATTACACCATCTTGCAACACACAGTTGTCGTAAAATTATCTAGGATAAGACTATCTAACAATAATGTTCTTAAGCAAGACAATTTACCCCAATTGTTTTAGCCTACCCAGCTGTCTGATAGGTATCAACGAGTAGCTGTGAGTTAACTCGCGACGGCAAAGAAAAGATTTGACTCTTTTTTTTTTGCCGAATAATAAATAAAAACAAGTATGGTCAAATCTAACTTTCAGACAAATGTGATTACAAAAACTTCAGTTAGGATTCGCACAGAAATGCATTTGAAATTCTCGAAATTGGGATTTCTACCACAACCAAACTTTTGATTACTCAGTAGGTGTACCAATGTTCAATGACCTAAGTCTTCCCATCTGGAAGTTATCTTCAACTTAAGACGATAAAATATAGCCGGTAGACATGTGGCTGAAACGTGTTTTACCACTGATTAAAAAAAAACAACTTAAATACGAAAGCTGGTTGAAAATATAAGTATTACATAGCACTGTAGGATCATGATAAATAAGAAATGTATGCACAAGAAAATTTACTGACAAGTTGTTAAATCTAATTCACCACAATACTGCTTTACGATCGATGTCAGGAAACAAATTTGTAGGGTCAAAATGTTGAAAATGGCCAAAATTTCAAGAATACCAAAACTAATTTTATAAAACGAAGTGTAAGTATTAAGGATAATCTATTTTTCTTGACAGTGTCCATATACAAGTATCATTAACAACAGATTCAAAAAATCTAATATGCTTTCTTACACGATTAATCTAATCCTTGCCATTATGTTCATTAAACGCATATCAACAACAAATTCAAAAACATAAACACATCTAATTAATTAGAATATACCTTAGTTTATGTTTGTTTTGAATTTCGCGTAAAGCTACACGAGGGCTATCTGCGCTAGCCGTCCCTAATTTAGCAGTGTAAGACTAGAGGGAAGGCAGCTAGTCATCATCACCCACCGCCAACTCTTGGGCTACTCCCTAAACAACGAATAGTGGGATTGACCGTCACATTATAACGCCCCCAAGCTGAAAGGGCGAGCATGTTTGGTGTGACGGGGATTCGAACCCGCGACCCTCAGATTGCGAGTCGAGCGCCCTAAGCACCTGAATTAAGTCTTATGTTTATTTTTTTGTAAAGTTTTTATTTATTGTATTACTTAATTTATTGAATGTTTTTGTTTTATACTTTCATCGCTAGTTTGGTATAAATTGGTTTGCGTTAGTATTTTAATTTTAATACCTATAATCAAATTACAGATACCTGTTTGCAAAGAACAATGTAAAGAAAAGAAACAGGTTATAAATTATTACAGTTATATTTATAATAATGAATAAATGTCGTTCTTAAACTGTTTTGAGTTTCTTCAGTCTGAAAATGGTAGAAATATAATTCTATTTTCAATCAAAATCACTAAAAAATATTTACATCGATGAGTTTTCCGTTCAGATCAGTACATCGATAAATGCTCAACACAAGTCTCCACAACTAGTAAATGTATTATTTTTGAACAATTTGTAGCTGTTTAATTAAATCGATATAACAGTTCGTACATCACAGAATTCATGGTAAGATAGACAGTAAAAAGGGGCTTGTTCATCATACAACAAATGTTGATTGTTTAAATTAAATAAAACATTTTTGTTATAGTCTTTATAGTATTACATTATTGAGGTAAAAATCCATGCGAAGTAAACCAGATTTGAAATAATATATAAAAATGGGTTAAAAAATAAGTGGGTACAAAATTGTGGTTTTCTCAGATCCACCAGTAACCTTGGAGATAAGGAGAGTAAAATGTAAAAGTTAATCTTTATTTACAGCTAAACACGTTTAAACTGAAGATTACATGAAACGTTGTACATCACTTCTAGGTAAGAGAGAGCCCTCGAAATATCTTGAAGATTATTCTGGTGACCTTTCTATCGGTGCACCGTGAAAGCTAACCGCTATGTGCTTGAACGAATATTACTAACTCTCTTGGAGAGCACGTATTTCCACAACTGAAGTCATCCTATTATTGAAAATAAGACTTACAGAACCACCTAACGCTTCTAATCTTAAAGTCAGCGACGTGAATAGAGAAAACAGTACGGGGTCGAAAACTGACCGCCACCATGGAAACAAGTTTCCAGTGGAAGACACTCCTTCACTTTGTGTAACTATTTCATTGAATAAGATCATTCTTCTATCTAAGACATATTTCTCTATATGTGAAAGTTTATAAAAAACGTGCATATCTTTAAAAAATCAGGTAAACTTTGAGACAAAGAAAACATGGTATGTTTTAAACATTTTGTTTTGAGACCGATATGATTGAATCTCCTCTTAACTATAAATCCAATGAAATTGTATAAAACAAAATTCGCGAATCAGCCGTGCTTCGGTAGTGCCTTACTTCTTGCACCTGTTAAGACTCTTACTCCGTATAACACTTCGGCAAAGCAAATAAGCATAAACCTCAACCAAAGTCACAACATTAAATCAAATTACTATTTAAAATACGGTATTAAAACAATAAGAAACTAACAAAATAATAAATATTAAAATACAAAACCGAGCAAAGGTACAAACCTTCTATACTCGCATACCATTTGGCTAATAAAAATATGGACTAGAAAAAATATATAATTGAACCTTATCTTTAGGTTCAAAAACCAAAACCTTAAACATCGAAATATATAACGCTGTTATTTCTACAGAAACTAAAGTTTCATGAAAAAATTCTTTTAACATATAACTATAAACTTTTTTAGTTAAAACACAAAACATCTTTTTTAGTTTAGTTTACAAGAGTGGTTCTCAAACTTTCGTCCATAAACAACTCCAAAACTGCACAAGTAAGAGTTTAGTTCTTTTCCAGTCGACACATTTTTCATATATACAGATGTGAATGAATTCTCTATCTGCTTCTGTATTCTAGATTTTAAGATCTAATGTTTCGAGTTTATAATGTGATCCCAAATATATGACCTTTCCACATACTTTTCGAAGGGAGTCAGCAGATCATTAGGCCTTGGTACCACATATTTAGAGCCTCTGACGTACGACATGATGATACTTGAGATAAAATTTTATACACGAGAGATAGAAAGAAGGAAGCATAACATTTCTAAAAGACAGTTATTTACATTCACAACTCTTACCTGTGGCTCCGCTAATGATAGGCGAAAGAAAAATAATAAAAATTATAGTAACTTCCATTAAGTTCACGAAATGAATAGATAAGTTATTGGTAGCTTATTACAGTTACATAAATAGATGGAGTTCACTAAAAATTATATTCTCATTCTTCAAAAATCGACGGCTCGGACTATCGCTACAAGATTTCTTCAGCTTATAAGTTATAGATAAGTTATTGGTAGCTTATTACAGTTACATAAAAAGATGGAGCTCACTAAAAATTATAT